ATGGTGTGATGGGAAGATAGAAGGAATACTTTGAAGAGCTAATGAATGAAGAGAATGATAGAAAAAAAAGAATAGAGGTCATAGAAACTGTGGACCAGGAAGTGGGAAAGATTAGTAGAAGAGCAAAAACTGATTTGTCCGTAGAACCTTTCATTTGTGTCCGTCGGGGCTGAATTTGACTTTAAACATCAGATGTTTTGATACGTCTCCATCTGAACCGAACCGTGTAATCACCTGCAGGAAAAAAAACTAGCCTGTTTATTTTTATGTTAGCAAAATATCTCACAAATCACTGGATAGATTTTAATGAAACTCTCAGGAAAAAAACTCGCTGGATGTTCGTCTACGACCGATTAACTTCCAAAGTCAAATCTAATCAAGATGGCCGCCACAGCGAGGCAAGTTTCAAACACAAAAATAGCTGAAACTCAGTTTTATTGATAATGAGCTAAACTTTGGTGTGGTAGTAGCTGAGAGTCATCTTTAACACTTACTCCGAGCGCGCTTCCTTCAAGAGTTTCTTCAGCTTCGGGTCCAGAGTCATTGAAGCTGGTCTAAACTCAGCCTGGTCCAAAAATGTCACAGTTTGGGTCTTTAGTGAGATTTTGGACCCAACTTGGAGATAAAAGTCGTAAAAAGCTCGTTTTAGGTCCAGAATTTGTGGAAAGACGTTTTTCAGCCGGGGACGATTTAACAAGACTGAAAACCGAACTGAACTTTATTTGGAGCTCCTGAACGCATCATGGTCCAACTTAAAAAAAAAAAGTTGACCTTTTGTTTTTAAAGTGCAACATACACGACTGCAGAGCCCGTTTAAAGCGATAGCCTGGATCTTATTAAGATCAGTCAGTATCTTACCTGCTGCAGATGGCTCAAACTGTTAAAACACTCGAATCTCAAACATTTTGAGACGTTAATGAGAATGTGAGTTCTGCTTGGGCCGGTTTTATGGACAGGAAACAACAAGAGCAGCTCACCTGAAGGTTGGTTGGGTTCTCCATCCAGTACCGCTGCTTTGGGTCAGAACCGATCCAGGACTTTCAGTTTTGATCTTTATTAAAAAAAAGAAGTGATTTTCCAAAAGCAAAGTCAATCTGGTTTTAAAGGTTCTTTAGTGGTGCAACACCGTGGTATCAAAACTTCAACTGAGTGTCCTGGTCTTCATCAGGTCCACGGCCGAGTCTTCATCAGGTCCATGGCTGAGTCTTCATCAGGTCCACGGCCGAGTCTTCATCAGGTCCACGGCCGAGTCTTCATCAGGTCCACGGCTG